CACCGGGGAAAGATGTCGAGTTTGAGGCCAGCTGTGCGCCGCTGCAGTCCAGCAGGACCCGTGAGGAGCGGAGCAGAGTGAGACGAGGCGGAGCGCTGGATGAACCGTCCGCTCTGTTGCCACAGGGATGACACCCAGTGGGGGCCGGGGGCCGCGGGCTGGAGCACACACATGCACCGAGAAAGTCAAACAAACAAAACATCCCAAATCCACAGGATGGCCTGCTCGTGCACAGTCTGAACCTTTTGTTCTGTCATTACTCTCCTCACCCTCCTCACCCTCCTCACCCTCCTCACCCACTTCACAAAATAACCTTGAAATTGTCTGCAGTTCTTTCTGTTCTGACTCTTTTCTTTCCCTCAGCAGCCAGGCTCTTTCTGCCCCTCTACTCACTTTTCTTCTCTCCACTTTCCATAAAAGATCTTTGAAACCCAGACTATGATTTTCACACCTCTCTCCATCTGTACTTTACGACTAAAAATGGATCCCACTCCCTGCCGATCCTCCCTTCATCCCCACATCCCTCCTCTGACTCTTTGAGTCCACGACAGGTGTGACCTGACTCTTTTCAATTCCCCTCTTCATTTCCTTACTCCCTGCATTTTTTTCTCTCACATGAAAGGCCTCCCACCGCCCTCGGCTCTTCCCTCTCTCCCGCTCTTTCTTCTCGCTGCTCCCTCACCTTCTTCTTTAGCCCCAGGAGAGAGCTTGGATAACAGGTGGAGCCACTGGTTTTGGGGGATCAGGTTTCTATCTCCCTGCAATTCAAGAATGCAGGATCACTCCAGGGTATCAGGAAACAAAACAATCAGCCGCTCACTTACTTCCCTCTCTCTCCCCTTCTCTCTCTCACTCACCCTAATGCATCACACAACCAGAAGCACCAGCACCGTCATCAGGTTTAAACCATTAGATGGTTTCAATTATTTGCGGCGCTCTGTGGTATATCAGCTGTTAAGGCGTTGTCTTTGTGACGCAATTATTTACTCACAAATGTGAGGAAAACGACCTGGGGAGTCGGCAGGAAACTCAGCCCTCAGACCCTGCTGTCACACAAACACACAAACACACAAACACACAAACACACAAACACACAAACTCACCACGAGCAGAAAATGAAAAGTGTTGTTTCTCCACACCACCAGCGCTTGTGGGTGATGATGATGATGATGATGAAGATGATGATGAAGATGATGATGATGATGAAGATGATGAAGATGATGATGATGATGATGATGATGATTATGATGATGAAGGCTGTTTGCACCAGGCTGAGGCGCGGCTCACCTGCTGTTCCAGCTTCATTCATAATCCAGGACGGCCCGCAGCAATTACAGGGAGCTAAAAGAACAGTTTACCAAAAACACTGAGAGCAGCCAGAGAGTCAGTGGCCCACGGACACACTGCCTGGTGTCTGAGTGTGTGTGTCTGAGTGTGTGTGTGTGTGTGTTCTGGCAGCACTCCACTGCTATGACAGGTCAGTTAATATTGACATAATCTCCCTCCACTACGATGACAGCCAGAGCTGCAGGAAGCTGCTCATTAGGTTTGCATGGACTCACTTCTCTCTCTCTCTCTCTCTCTGTCTCTCTGTCTCTCTCTCTCTCTCTCTCTCTCTGTGCAGAGTGAGGGTCCTGATTGTTGGAGAAGTCATTACCTTAGTCAAACAGGTGTTTCACAGACGATGGAACGTCTTCACTCAGACCCTCTGCAGAGGTCGTCTCGCTGCGGTACCGTGTGTGAGGGGTAGGGGGCGTGAGAGGGTGGATGGTGGTAACAGGGAGAGCAAATGTAGTGATATTTGTTGAACTAGACGTTCACACACGTGTCAGGATAGATTTTCATCTGAGAAGAAGTCACACGCTCTGTGTGTGTGTGTGTGTCGGCGCCAGATAACACACACACACATGTGTGTGTGTGTTATTAGCTCTCTCTTCCTCCTCTGTGACTGAGACACCAATAACAGGCTGCGTCGGTGATAGAGGGGAATGGATGGATTGAGGTAGAAAATCAGCAGAACTGGTTCTGGTTTCAGGTAATTGGAAGTTAAATTGGCTTCAGAATTAGAACCTGTGACCACTCACTCAGTCTGTGTGTGTGTGTGTGTGTCTGTGTGTGTGTGTGTGTGTCGGAGCCAGATAACACACACATTCACACACACACACATGAATGTGTTGTGCCTCTGTTGATGGTGCGTAGATAGACCTGTGGGAATAATTAAATATGAATATTGCTGCTGTAGTATATGAATACTACAGTATATAAATACTACAGTATATAAATACTACAGTATATAAATACTACAATATATGAATACTACAATATATGAATACTACAGTATATGAATACTGCAGTATATGAATACTACAGTATATGAACACTACAGTATATGAATACTACAGTATATGAACACTACAGTATATGAATACTGCAGTATATAAATACTACAGTATATAAATACTACAGTATATAAATACTACAGTATATGAATACTACAGTATATGAACACTACAGTATATGAATACTGCAGTATATAAATACTACAGTATATAAATACTACAGTATATAATACTACAGTATATGAAGGAACAGGCAGGTAAACATGGAGATCTACGTCTGTGAATTTGAGCTTTTATTTATTGAACAGTTGAATATCAACAGTAACATATTTTAAGCTTTATTTAATGTCATCAAATCAGTTTTCTAACTCCGACGACGACGACTGTGAGTCTACGCCTGTTTCTGGGTGAGCTTTTAGAGCTGTTTACTCTTAGCTTGTGAATAAAGCTGCACTCCCTGTAAATAATGCAAATAATAAAAACACATTTCCTCAAATACCACTCCGTGCTGCAGCCTTTCTGTATCTCTACAGATATGATATATATTTATAGATATATTTCTCGCTGTACCTTTTTCATCTACTGACGCTGTGAAAAACAACAAAACTAATGCAGTTCCTACTTTTTGCTACTTTTTATTAGTTGCCAGATAAGAAAGTGAAATCAAAATGTTCTGGCTGTAGATCCTGGTGGTTGTTTATTTTTGTACTTAGTGTTTGTCACTGCAGTGAAATGATTTGACAGTAGCATTATTTTCTTCTGATCAAAATCAATGGCACTGCAGGAGTCATGGCAGTGTTTTGTTTTTTTATTCCACTGGGAAAATGGAGGGAGGAGGGGGGGGGGGGCAGCCCCCAGCAAATTAAATTCCTGTAAAAAAGAAAGTTATAAAAAGAGCCCAACAACACTCCGGTGTGTAAATAAGCTCCAGGGATGTGAAAATAGTGATAGTATCATAACACATGGCTCGCTTCCCGGTCTGACTGCGCTCAAAACACAAAAACACTGCTGCGCTGCAGGTTGGTGGCCACAGGTGGAGCTGTGTAGGTGAGACGGCAACGTTTCGAGGCCCGCAGCTGTTCAGCTGACGGGCCGTTGGCACCGAAGAGGTTTGGAAATAAAGTTGAGAGAAAACACGAAGCAGGAAAATTGAGTTGAAGAAAAACATTTGATCAGATGTTTTTTTTTCTTCTAGGCTGAAGTTTTTATCCAGACTTTATTCATGTTAACTATTGGGCGACACATAACACTGAACTGAACTGCACTTTTTTTCCAGGGTGTTCAAACTCCTGGCCTGGGGATCAATTCCTGCCCGCTACTGGATTTTAATAATAGTTAAATTTTGCCCCTGGGGTTGGGGCACTTTTGAAACAAGCTTTTCCTCTTTTTTTCAGCAGTGTCTGAACACTCACTCGAGTCTGAGACCCAAGTGCCGTCTGTCCTTTATTTTGAAGTGGTTCCATAGCTTGAAAGAGTTTCTCAAAGGCCCAGTCTGTGAGACGATAAGAGACTGTTGTCCTGCCAACCGTCGGAGGTGTTAACACAGCACAGATCCATGCCAGCATTTATTAAACTTTAAAGAATTACCACTTAAAGTTACAGAAATCAATATTCCAATAATCACCTAAATCTTCTGCTCTGCCTACATTGTATCCACTATCAGATCACAGAGTACATCAGCAGCCTCTAATTCTGCTGCTCTGGCTGTCCCTCTCTCCTATCGCCCTGTAATTTTCTACAACATCAAGCGTCTGTTTCAGGGAAAATATCTCTAAAATGTTACTGTTCGCCGCCTTCTCGCTGCTGAAGTGTAGGGAGACACGCTGTGGTTAGAGACAGTTAACCAGGGAGCGTTGTGGACGGTTGAGCAGTTGAGGAACTGGAGATTTCCCTCTGGAGATGGCAGAGACCCAAATGTGACGCTAAAGGTTGTTGAATACAGACTTTATGTCTGCCCTACGAGAAATGTCACCTTTCATACAGAACATTGAAATGAAAACACCTTTTTCAACAACCTCCGGCTGGCTGCATTCCTAACACTTTCTGTAACGGCTGAGTATGTAAAGACAAATGTTCCCTGTGAACTTGAAAGAAGAGAAAATCTGAGATATAATCTGAGCTTGTCGTCGGCGACTGAAAGAGGACTATCAGAGTACTCTCTGGGTGTAATTGTACCGTGTACAACGTATACTAAACATTACCATCAGTGGAGTCAGGTCGAGGACAGGAACTACTGCTGAATGTGCATTGGTAAAACAGATCTATGAGCAGGTGTCGGTGTGATTGGCTTCAGCAGCAGCAGTCTAGAGACCACCAGACAGACTGGAGAGACTGAGTGGAGATGGTGGGGGTCTGTTTGGTGACTGGGGATGAAAAGCCCGTCTTCAAGGATTTATTGGGGCAATAAAAGATAAGGTCACTATGTTGTAGGCGTTAACATTAATGTGCTATTAAATGAACATCACCATGAAAAAAACTGGTCATCAGCAGAACCAGACTTGGTGAATGCAGTTATTGTGTCATAAAGTAAATGCCTGTATTATGTGTTGATACTGCTGATGTGTCAGAGAGTTCGTCCTCAGGCTGGTTGACTGTCAGAGAGTTCGTCCTCAGGCTGGTTGTAGTAGACAACAGTGAGTAGATAATAGTTTGGGAATGAAATAAATAACACTGGCTAGAAAATGTAATTATTTTGTGACATTAATCAGATAAAAGTAATAGTTTGACTAAATGTTTTACTGCAGTAAACTTGCATTATTCCGTGGTTGTCCTCAAACGACACATTCACAGGACGCTCGTCCTCCGTCTTACTTAAATAAGTAGATCACATGCAGCTTACGTCACGTAGAAAATGTGTCCCTAAACAGAGGGTAACAAGGTTTATGGTCGACCACCGTGGTGGAGTCAGACTCACGGCTTTATCACATTGATTCCTCTCCCATTCTCGTCCACTGGGACAAGGACAGTAGTCCAATTACACAGACCATTTGAGCTCAGCTGAACTGTTGTGAACTAACTGAGTGTCAGTCGAACAGCAAATCATTCCAACAGTTGATCATTTCACTTATTTCATGGTTGTAACAAATGCTGTGATGAAGGAACAAAATGAAACCAATTATTAGACCTGAATTTGACAGGTTAGATTTAAACACATTATTCTGATGTGACTGGCTGATGACTGGTGTGTGTGTGTGTGTGATAGAATATTATAATACTCTATTAATATTACACTGTATTACAGACACAAACATAAGGGTCAGGGTCCACAGAGCAGCTCGGCTTCATGTTTTGTGATGATAAAATACTTCTGAAAATGTGAAAGACGTAATAAAATTAACACAAACACCAATTTCAACTTTTGCAAACTTCAATTTTTAATGTCAATGTCTCTTGCTGCAGTAATGACAATAAAAAGAAGCGACGTCGTTACAGGAATAGAACCAACATAAACACAAGCTGCACAACAGCTGTACAAAATTTGTTTTGTAGAAATAGGAGCACGGAGGCAGCGACACACACACAAACAAACACACACACAAACAAACACACACACATACAGTAAAAGCCAGCGTAAGCAAACAGCAGCAAAACATTAGGCCTGATTTACTACACGGCATAAGGATAGTTACCTTTGAGGAGCCTCGGGAAACAGAAATTCATCAAGGAGCAGCAGAATAAAAATGCATGAGAAAAGAAGACGATGGTGGATATAAAACCACAACCAGTTATGACGAACTGGAAGGAGATCAAAAAAGAAAAACAGAATTACAAAAAGGAATGAGATTAAGGATGCAGAGATGCGTCATCACAGATGCCAAATGTTGTAAATTACCAAAGAAAATAAAAGCATCAAGGAAACCATTGAGGTATTTTGAAGTGTGTGATTGGATAATTGATGCGTGGGCATCAGTCAGAGGTAAACAAGCTGGGATTCTGCAGTTCCCTAATGTTCCCTAATCTTTGGTGGAAATCTCTATTTGTTATGTCAACATGTAAACAACAGGTAATCCTGCTTCCATGCTGGGAATCGGTGTGTCATCATTTACTGTGACTATAAAAACAAATCAACTGTAAACCTTATCTTATCTCTTTCACCAAATCTTAGTTTTCTTGCTGAGTGAAACAACACAATGTCACAGTCTAACAGACAACAACGGTCTTTATGTAACATTTTATTAAATTTTATAGAACATAAGGGTTTCCTTAAACATTTTCTTTCACGAAGGTTGTGACAAATAATGTCAAAAATATGTTGACGGTTAAAAAAACACGGTAAAACTTTTGCCAGAAGGAGTCCCGCCCTCCAGTTGCCTTCTGACCAATAGGAAGAGAGGTAGTACTCGCTTTCACCAACCAGTGTAAAGGGATGCCAGTGAATGGAAGTTTACTTTTCCAGTTTGGAACAGATGGAAAGTAGAGATTAACGGGGCAGAGCGGGTGCTTTGTTCAGTGAAGACGGAGAGAAATTACGGTGGAGCGTAAGGATTTTTGACGGTGTCTCTGAACCGAACTGCGGGAGAAGGAACCCACCTCTCCTCTCTCCCCCTCACTCTCTCCCTCTTCTCTGTCTGTTTGGAGGCAGGTGTTCGGTGGACGTAGACGCATCGCTTCAGTCGGCAGCTCCTCCGCGGACGGAGGGTGAGGACACACCGGCTTAGCTGCCGCTGAAACCCGCACTAAACTCCTAGAAGGACAAAGGGACTGTGGTGGTTAAATACCGTCGCTTCCAGACTGGACCGTTTTTTTGTACGTGAACCGTTGGAGACTGGATAAACCGCGGGAGGCTCCGGTGTCGCAGTGAGACCAGTGAACGCAACCGATTCACTTTGAATTTCTTCGTCGATTTTAAACAGCTGGCGAACTTCGCTCGGGGTTTCAGTGACGTTCTAGAAGACGGTAGAAAAACTCTCCAAAAACTTGAATTAACCCAGAATACTTTGTCTCTTAACCTGTTGTCTGTCCGGGTTATTGCCTCTTCCGCGTAACCCGAGAAGCTGCGCATTATGTGGCCGGTGAACCTATCCGTTACCCGCTGTCTGAGCCCTCTCTCTGGGGACAGAGGTTTAAATGCGTCCGTTAGTGGAATTAATGAGTAAAAACTACGTAGCGTTCGGCCACAACTACACACACAGTGACCATAATATTGGGAGAAGAACGTGGTGCAGAGACAGAATATTAGTCGAGGGTGTTATTTTAATTTAAGACGAACTCGTCGGTACCAGCGTGGCCTGTGGCGGACGTTTGAACGGACTAACAAACACAGAACACCTTAAATACGTCTCAGAGTTTGATCAAATTTAGACTTTTTTTTCACTTATTTTGGATTTTTCACTGTTTCTCTCGAGGCCACTTGTAGTTTTATTTAAACGTATTTATTACAGTTCTCACTCAAGTGAAATAAATACCGAGTACATTGTAGACACACCACGACACATACTTACACTGATGACAGTTTACATTTCCCCATTTCTCGGTATTAATCGTTTTTTTTTGTTTTTTATCCCGACAGCGAAATGATCCGCGTTCCACAAATCCTTAGTGGCGACATCACGACAAAATACGCGCGGATTTGAGGTTTTATCGGCAGCAGTGGAATAAGCCGATAAGTGTAAGACACACAGTCAAGTGTATTAATACGGTAGATCAGATCAGATCGACGTGGATGAAGATGAGGCTCCACCGGGAGCAGCCGACGAACAGAGACCGCGCACAGAGGCTGCAGTGAAGCCGTCAGTGCGGACTGAAGCCAAGAGGAGTGAGAGAAAGTCTTTCTGTTGGTCAGGGGAACCCTCCTCCTCTTCTTACTCCTCACCCCCCCCCCAACCCCCCCGTCACCACCACCACAGCTTCGACCTCCTCCTCCTCCTCCTGCTTCTTCTCACGCTGCCTGCCGACTTTTGGACACCGGAGCCGTGGAGTCCTATCGTGCCACAGCAGCAGCAGGGAACTCCCGGAGCTCGGGTCTCAGTGAGGAGAGCCTCCGCTCTCCGCCCTCCGCCCGTGGACTCCTACCCTGAGACAGAGAGTCGGAGTTGGACTGCAGCATCAGCAGAGCACCGGGGGACGCAGTCTCTCTCTGTCTGTCTGTCTCTCTGTGGTGCGAGAGGAATTAGCTTCTCCCCCGAGAGTGTGCGGGGACCTGCAACAGGGAGCGGGCGACACTGGTGATGATGATGATGGTGGTGGTGGTGGTGGAGACCAGGAGTCGGCGGAGAGGAAGCCGCTGCCTGCCCGTCCTTTTCCTGCTCCTTCTTCTCAGCAGCTGCTGCCACATGTTGCACGGCCAAGGTAAGAGCTGAACGGCGCCAAGTTGTAATGAAAGGCTGATTCAAAAAAAAAAAAAAAAACACTTTTTTTTTTTTTACTGCATCTGATTTAGACCCATGTATGCTGTAGGTGTTCGTGCCCTCTTCTTACTCCTCACCCCCCCCCCAACCCCCCCGTCACCACCACCACAGCTTCGACCTCCTCCTCCTCCTCCTGCTTCTTCTCACGCTGCCTGCCGACTTTTGGACACCGGAGCCGTGGAGTCCTATCGTGCCACCGCAGCAGCAGGGAACTCCCGGAGCTCGGGTCTCAGTGAGGAGAGCCTCCGCGCTCCGCCCTCCGCCCGTGGACTCCTACCCTGAGACAGAGAGTCGGAGGTGGACTGCAGCATCAGCAGAGCACCGGGGGACGCAGTCTCTCTCTCTGTCTCTCGGTGGTGCGAGAGGAATTATCTTCTCCCCCGAGAGTGTGCGGTGACCTGCAACAGGGAGCGGGCGACACTGGTGATGATGATGGTGGTGGTGGTGGTGGAGCCCAGGAGTCGGCGGAGAGGAAGCCGCTGCCTGCCCCTCCTTTTCCTGCTCCTTCTTCTCAGCAGCTGCTGCCACATGTTGCACGGCCAAGGTAAGAGCTGAACGGCGCCAAGTTGTAATGAAAGGCTGATTCAAAAAAAAAAAAAAATGTTTTTTTTTTTTTTTGAATCAGCCTTTCATTACAACTTGGCGCCGTTCAGCTCTTACCTTGGCCGTGCAACATGTGGCAGCAGCTGCTGAGAAGAAGGAGCAGGAAAAGGACGGGCAGGCAGCGGCCTTCTCTCCGCCGACTCCTGGTCTCCACCACCACCCCCACCATCATCATCATCACCCGTGTCGCCCGCTCCCTGTTGCAGGTCACCGCACACTCTCGGGGGAGAAGATAATTCCTCTCGCACCACAGAGAGACAGAGAGAGAGACTGCGTCCCCCGGTGCTCTGCTGATGCTGCAGTCCAACGCCGACTCTCTGTCTCAGGGTAGGAGTCCACGGGCGGAGGGCGGAGAGCGGAGGCTCTCCTCACTGAGACCCGCGCTCCGGGAGTCCCTGCTGCTGCTGTGGCACGCTAGGACTCCACGGCTCCGGTGTCCAAAAGTCGGCAGGCAGCGTGAGAAGAAGCAGGAGGAGGAGGAGGTCGAAGCTGTGGTGGTGGCGACGGGGGGGTTGGGGGGGGGGTGAGGGGGGGGACACGGGCAACAAGGGAGATAGACGGATGATGAGTTTTAAACTGGAAACAAGGCTGTGATTTATTGGACCAAGTGTTGCAGGCCGTCTAACAGTGAGGATGTGTGTGTGTGTGTCAGCAGGAGGGATGGAGTGTGTGTGTGTGTGTGTGTGTCAGCAGGGGGGGTGGGGTGTGTGTGTGGGTGTGTCAGCAGGAGGGATGGAGTGTGTGTGTGTGTGTCAGCAGGAGGGATGGAGTGTGTGTGTGTGTGTGTGTCAGCAGGGGGGGTGGGGTGTGTGTGTGGGTGTGTCAGCAGGAGGGATGGTGTGTGTGTGTGAGGAGGAGGAGGAGGTCGAAGCTGTGGTGGTGGTGACGGGGGGGTTGGGGGGGGGGTGAGGGGGGGGACACGGGCAACAAGGGAGATAGACGGATGATGAGTTTTAAACTGGAAACAAGGCTGTGATTTATTGGACCAAGTGTTGCAGGCCGTCTAACAGTGAGGATGTGTGTGTGTGTGTCAGCAGGGGGGGTGGGGTGTGTGTGTGGGTGTGTCAGCAGGAGGGATGGAGTGTGTGTGTGTGTGTCAGCGGGAGGGGTGGTGTGTGTGTGTGTGTCAGCGGGAGGGGTGGTGTGTGTGTGTGTGTCAGCGGGAGGGGTGGTGTGTGTGTGTGTGTCAGCGGGAGGGGTGGTGTGTGTGTGTGAGGAGGAGGGAGGGGTGGTTATTGGGTCAACAGCACTGTTTTTAGCAAATTAAAGTAGGCTTGATTTGTTTTGTGTGTGGGAGACAGAAGGGGGGGGGGGGGGGGGGGGGGTGTACTTACTAGATTGCATGGATAAAATGCTACGATTGTAATTGTTGTAAAAATACATATCCAGGATATTGATTGTGAGATTAAGTTATTGAGGCTGTACATGGTTGGGTGGGTGTTAGAGCTTCCAGCTCTGCTAATCCCCAGCTTAGTCAATGACCTGCTTAACTACAGCTACACACACACACACACACACACACACACACACACACACACACGTCAATTTCAGTATTCATTTAGGGTTGGAAAATATTGGCCTGGTTTTGTTGGCGTCTGTCCAGGTTACTGTAGTGAAGGAGTGACTTTTGGTCACAGTGGGTCTGGGTGTAAAGTCACTGTTTGATATAACAGCCACAAAAAGACTCCGCTGATGAGATATTGATCCTGGTCCCAGCAGTTTGTGGAAATTATCTATTGCCATGTTACATTAATGTGTCTGCCTTTTTCCTTGGAAACTGGAGAGAAAGCACACACGAAATCAACAGAGAGAGAGAGAGAGAGAGACGTAAGAACGGGTGTAAATTCATGTCCAGGTGTAGCTGTACCCTGAGAGATCATGTCAGTGGTAAAACAAAAGAGCAGGAGAAGGTCAGGGTGGTGTCAGGGTGGTGTCAGCACACACTTTCTCTGGGTCACAGATGGTGCTGTGGGCAGAATTTAAGGCTGGAGGGGTCGCGTGGATGAGGGGGTGTCAGGAATGTGTGTGTGAGTGTGAGTGTGTGTGTGTGAGCGCTGGGTTTTGGATGAGCTATTTGCGAATGCATGAAAAATATGTGTGCCATTTAAGTGCAGCAAAGTGTGTGTTGCCTGAGTGTGAATCACATGCAGGGAGGTGGGAGAGAAAGTAAGCAGGCGGTGTGGCAGAGAGGGGGAGGAGGTGGTGTTGGATGGAGCTGCGGAGGGAGAGAGGGGTGAGAGTGGGGGAAAAAAATGAAGTGGTTGGGGGGGGGGGGCAGGGGTTAGAGAGAGAATTTGGCACACAGTGCCTGTCACTCACCAGGCTGTGCCTGCAGTTCAATCGATGCTGACGTTATGACAACACCTCTGTGTGTCAAACGTTGCTCTCCTCTCCCTCTCTCTCTCTCCCCAGTCATCGCACTCACCATGTTTCCTCCCTCCCTCCCTCCCTCCCTCTCTCCCAGGTGCTGAAGAGGAGGTGGTAGACTTAGAGATGCTGTGCACAGTCAGCTCTTTCTCTCCTCTTTCTAATGTCAAGGTCTCAGTACCGGAACCACCCGCAAGTCCGTTGGAGTGGGCGGGGGGGGGGGGGGGCGGGGGGGGGCAGCTCTTTTAAGACATGCCTGCAACTCAGACAGCTGACAGAGTTTGCATGCTGGGGTGGGGTGGGGGGGTGGGGGGTGAGAATTGAGAATTAGTGAAACAGATTCAGAATAAGACTGTGCCGTGGGTGGAGGAGAAGGAGAGTGCGGTTATCGATTTGATAAGCGGTGCCAGGCGGCCAATCGAAGGCTGCAGATTTTCCAGGTTCCGGCCCCTCTATCCCCAGCATTTATTAGGACGTTTTATTTTAGGTGAAAAAGGATGAAATTCATGAGCCAGAGCTGATCCTCTTGATCTCTCCCTGTCTCTCCCCCCTCTGCCTCACTCCATCCCAGTCCCTCTCCTTCTCTCTCTCTCTCTCTCTGTCTTTTTCTCAGTCAATCGATGCCCACACCCCTCCTCATAAATGCGGGGCTTTATATACGCCAACTCTCATCTCTGGGAGCACATTTAAATAAGCTCATCGATCTTTCATTTTAGAGTTTAAGTGACAGCAGCTTTTTACTGTCTCTCCTCCTTTTAACCTCATCCTCATCCTCTTCTTCTCTCACTCCCTCTCAACTGCTCACCTTGCCACACTCCCTTCTTTATTCATGACCCCAACCATTTTATTCATCCCCCCCCCACTCCCAGCTGCCCTGTCACTAAGAGGGTTCTGCTCCACAGCTGTTTGATTGATTCATATTTCCAGCGTGGCTACAGACGGGCTCTTTCTCGACTTGATATTCTGAACGGAGTCAGGGATGGAGGTCACATTTAGCGTGTTTTAAAATGTAAATCCTAACCACGTCGCAAAACAGACTCTTCTTATTAGCGCAGAAGAACTGGTCCTGCTGTTCAGCTGTTTTCTTCTAAAAGACGTTAGACAAAATCACACAGAATTGTGTCGTTCTTCTGTTTCACAAATTCACAAAGCAACGGCAGTGAGAAGAAAAGAGTTCATAACAAAGAGAAATGAGAATAATTTTGGTTTAATGGCTAAATTTAGATCATGATAAGGCTCTGTGCATTACCAAACAGCAAAGTAAAATGTTTTACAGTTTTCCTTATTACTAACTCCACGGGCCCAAGTAATTGCCTTAAAATATGTCTTAATATTGCCAGATTTTCTACTTCCTTCCTGTCAGTGTGATTAAGACGAATTCACCGTCTCTGGTCGAACCGTTGGATTGGAGCAGAAAACAGAAGGATTTCTGTTAGAGAACACTCAGTGTTGTTGTTAGAGGTCACAGGGCTGAGATTGTAGGAATAAAGAGGACATTTGATCAAAGATAGTCTTCGCTGTCCTCCTCGTCCTCCTCGTCCTCCTCGTCCAAACACAGTAAAAGTGTCGTGTTTCTACAGGCAGCCTTGGATCACTGTTCTCTAACGTCTGGATTGACTAAGACAAACTCCTGTGATTGTCTGCAGTTTTGTGTTTGCTTTGCATCTTAAATTTAGGGATTTTGGTTCCACTTTTAAAATGTTAACGTACGTGTTTTTGACCAGGGGAAAGTTTCACAGCTGTGTTGGTATGTGTGTAAATAAGGTAAGGTGTGTGTGTGTTAGGGTAGAGGAAAGGATAAAAACTGTGGGGGGTGTATCTGTACTTGACGGCTGCCAGACCTGTCAGGCTTTGAAAAAAAAAAGGGAGCTCCCTGATTGGCTCCTTTATTTCCTGTCTGTCAGAGGAAACGTATTACCGTACTTCTCCAGCTGCTGATGCTGTTGTCGTGCACGACTGCACGTGTGTGTT